TCAGAAATTCTGTTTTTCTCAAACATCACTGCTTCTCAAACATCAAATGACTTAAGCCTAAACCAGAGTGATTTATTGCTTAATCGTGAAATAAGCATAGTTATACCCTGCTTGTCCAGGTAAAGGAAATGAAAATAAAAATCCTGCAATGGATTGGTTTTGTTAGCGTTAACATTTGGCTGAATGAGATGCTGACTCCTGTTAAAGAAACCATTTGGACCACAATGTGTGTGCCATGTCCAAGATTTTCCCAAGACCTGGGCTCTATTGAGAAGCCAGTGTGGAAAATCAGGCGCTTAGGGCCCCTGGACAGGAGGCGTTCCTCTGATTCTCCTCGCTCTGTGCCCTCAAGGCCACATCTGTTCCATTTCTACCTCTGTTTAAAAATATTTACGAACATCTATCTCAATCCAGTGGACTATAAAGAACATGTACATTCAGTAAGAAAGTTGTTGGTAAGAATTTTTTTTTGGCCAACTGCAAAACAGATTATTTTCCTGTCATGCGAGAAGAAAAAGTCTGTTCTCTGTATGAAGATGTGGGTACAATTTGCACGGTTCTGCCCGCAACCCCACGCTGTGAAACATACACAGAAAAGGCTGAATGGACAGAACTGGTACAAGTACCCCCAACAGAGCGACTGAGAATTTGTAACATTCCTATTTTATGGTGATTCTGTACGCCTATCAGGACAACTTCACCCCACACGATGGTGTCTTGGTTCACATTGTATTGCTGAGGCTGCACATGGTGTGCACTCTTTATACTGACATTTGGTACTATTTTAAAGTTTCAATTGGTAAACTGTGCCTAAAACTTAGGCCCAATTCTATAAAAGAAAACGAATGATAGTCTGACATAGCCTACCTCATGGTTGCACATTCTTTTAATAAATAACCCTGAATAGGCTAAATAAATAATAGAAGATATAATGATTTGCTAATATTTATTTCTTATACTCCACTCATAAACTCTGGAATAGTCAAATCAAGTCAAGTGAATATTGCCATTGCTCTCATCACAGACAGAAGTAATGTTAGGAATGAAAAAGGCCTATTATTCCCCCTGAATCATGGTGCTACACTACACCATGTAGCATTGACAGACAGCACAAAAGGCAATAAATACAATAATTACTGACTATACAATAAACTATAAACTATGCCAGAAACAACATCCCTGCTGAAACCTGACCACTTACCACCTGCCAAAACACTGAGCTCGCCAACTGATAGGCCAAATCAGCCAGCTGGGAAGTTATTTTCCATTGCTTTTAATGTGTTATTTTCTTTAAAAAAAAAAAAAAGTTGTCTATAGTCTTGCATGAGTAGTAATTCAGAAACTGTTTCCTTTCCACCAGCACTTACTAGCTGGTAAAGATGGTCTACCTGTTTGAGCAGCTCAGAGTGTGTTTTGGCAGCTGGTAGCTGGTCAGATTAAGCTGGATTTATTCAACAGGGAAGGTAAACACTCTACACAACAGACTATTACACAGTAGTGTTTTTGATTTAGAGTAATAAAATCTGTACAGTTCATTCACTGATCATTTTAAATAGTTTATCTTTTAGTCTTTTTTTCCTGTAAAGCACTTGAGATTTTGAGTTCAAAATGAAATTTTATATATATAATTTCTTTTTGAACTCAAAATCTCATATATATATATATATATATATATATATATATAGTTTTGAGATTTTGAGTGTATACATACATACATACATACAACTAAATAATAACAATAATTTGGGAGAAAAACAATCCCACAGCAGCTTTAAAGCTCTCCACGTGAGATGTAACTGTCACCAAACTGCTACTCCACAGCTAGATATTCATTGGCTGTAGCAAGTCAAGCGGAAGCGCTGAAGAGCGCGCGCCCCATTGACATGTTAACCGGGTGTCTCAGTATAAATGGGCCGTGCAGCGCGGATTCCAGCACACGGAACACAAGTGCGCTGGAGTTCCTCTATCACTGCAAGGATGGTTGCGGCTTCAGAGAGCTTGATAAAGACAAAAATTTCAGGCGGTAAAAAGGTGAGAGGAGTTTTGGATGAACTCGTTTTAGGATTTTTTTTTCCTAGGGTGCCAAAACTATTTTAATAGCCTAATGAAATCTGTTGTGCTTCTTCCAGATTTCCAAACCGCTGATGGAAAAAAAGAGAAGAGCGCGCATCAATACCTGCTTGGATCAGCTAAAAACCCTACTGGAAGGCTTCTACTCCAGCAATGTATGCATTTTCATATTTTACCTCATTTGCTTTAGGATTATGATTCGAAATTGTAGTTTATAATCTTTCTTTTATTTTTAATCATTTGAATCACTTAGTTTCACTTTTTTAAACATGATTATTCAAGTGAACTCTTCACATAGCTATCTGTCGTGTTACACTTGTAATGTAATCGTGTTACACGTTTTTCAGATCCGGAAGCGGAAATTTGAAAAAGCGGACATTTTGGAACTAACAGTGAAGCACCTGAAACATCTTCAAAACACTGAGAAAGGTTCGTATTCTTACAAAAAAAAACAAAAAAAAACAAAAAAAAAAAACATTTATATCAGTGTGTATCATAGTGACATGAACATTACAGCACAGAGTGTGCGTTCTGTCTGAATACTCGATTCTGATTGGCTGGAAGGTGTGCGTTCAAGCTACTGAATGCGCAAGTAGTTCCAGTCAGTTTAATCACCGTTCTAAATTAATGCGCTGCCTATAAACATTTAGGTAACCATAGAAACATACAGTTACAGTTACACACAGTAGTTAAACTCACAGCTTTATTATTAGTAGAGACGCAACACAAACACAGGTAATTCACACACTCACAATCTCTCTCTCTCTCTCTCTCTCTCTCTCTCTCTCTCTCTCTCTCACACACACACACACTAATAATATTTATTATAATTCATTCAAATAAATGTAATCTTATCGCACTACTTTATCTAGAGCGGAAAAGAGATCTAACGACCTGTATATAAAATAACCCGCGAAAATTAACCATTATTTTAATCTTTTCAGTCACATTCTGCACTGCAAACATCAATAACAGCTTTAACTTGTCAGTAATCCACGGCTAGCTGTGCGTTACACGAGTTTAAGGCGAAATAAATAATCCATTGTTATTCTCTTTCTCCCACAGTATTCGCCGTTAACGCTGCTGTCACTGAGTATCAGGCCGGCTTCAGGACATGCCTAGCCGGTGTGCATCAGTATCTCCTCATGAGCAACACGAACCCTGCGCTCAGGTCTAACGCGCTCGCGCACCTGTCTAACGCGCTCCTCTGCCTCAGCGCGCGACTTCCGGATTCCAGCACCGCGGACAGCGACGCCTTGAAGCCTCGCGCGCCCACGTCGCCTCGCGCTGACGTCATGGGCCTCTCTGAACCAGTGAAGGCGTCTCAAAGCGCTGAAGGAAAACGGACTGAAATCTCCAACAAAGACAAAACAACACACAAGCACATGAGTGCTAACCGGAGCTGCAGTGCTCCTACAAACTTCCAGCAAAATTACTGGCGGCCTTGGTAGCATCTTAAAGACCTTCTGTCTCCCTATAGACATGTATAGATATTATAACCAAAATGTTTATTATTATAGAGATATAGATTTGTACTCTTTTATGTTGAACTAGATCATATTTTTGGATAAAGCTTGTGTAAATGTCTATTTTTTATAATAAAATGATTTTTTTTAAATCATGCAGTCTCTTTGTAGCTATGTAAAAGTGCAGCAAATACATGGCAGAGATTTTCCTTTAGTGAGCTCTGCCTTTTGATTGAAATTGCAAGTTTATTCTACAAATGGGAAAACAATATGGAAATGTTGCTTCTAGATATTTTTCCAACATTCTTTCTCAGTAATTGCGACGGCAAATCGATATCATGCCTAAAAAAACCAAAGCAAAAAGCTCTTTTAGGTCAAAAGGCTAACTGGGACATCATTATCAGTTGTCTTTTGCAATAAGGAAAGTACACTTTCAAAAAAATAGGACTAAACTGCACCTTTACTTGTCGCTTGAGTGGATCTTTTATACCTTTAATAAGTATCTTCCACCCAGAACTGTGAATATACTGTACTTAAGTTACATTCATGGATTCGGATTAGTTTTTGGGTAACGTTTTAGGTAAAAGATACAAAATGACAATGAAAGGTACAGTTAGTACCCTTTTTTCTTAGTGTATAAAATAAGAACACAGTAGTTCCTTGAACAAGCAACAAGCATGTATCCACAATCCTAACAACAAACTGGTGACAAACAAGCCAACATAAAGTATCTCAGTGAAGTATTTCACCACCACAAACCACCAGAGCAGTTTAAATGGGCCATGGCATAAATTCTGTTCTGCAATTGCAAAACACAAATGTTTAAAAAAGGCTGTTTTGGATTTTATAGAGAGATGTGTGATATTTGATAGTAAAACGTGCTACATATCCAACATGTATAAGAATTCACAATTAGAAAACGTGTACAGTGATGCAAACTTTGTGCTCATTGGCTTACGTCAGACACAGCAGGGCAGAATAAAGCTGGAGAGGATGGCACCATGCGGTGAGGAGAATCGCTGGCACGCCTCCACCTCTTTTCACTGGCCTATTCACAAGCAGCTGTGTGCTGAGGACAGTTAAAGGGGGTGAGTATCCAACACCACGAAAAAGGCCATCGTCTGTTGTCTTCACACCATTTGAAAAGTAGCCTACACTGTCAGAAACAGAAACTCCACCATGAAACATATTCAGTATGTTTATATTGAAATATTTCCGATGTGCCTATACTGTAAAAAAAATTACTGTAAATTTTACTGTTTACAGTTGTCAGTAAAGTACTGTAACATGTACAGTAAACAACTGTAAAACATATTTACAGTAAAGTACTGTAATATCATACATAGTATAAAATAACACATAATCCAGTATACTGGCTTGTTTGGCTGATGCTTTAAAAAAAAAACACTTGATGCAGGGTACAACTGAGCTGAAGGTTAAGGGTCTTGCTCAAGGATCCAACCATGGCAGTGCTGGGATTTGATCACATGACTTTCAGATCTATAGCTCAAAGCCTTAACCACTGAGCCACAGTCATGCAGTCAGCCAGCATACAGTCTAGATTGTTTTTTAGATGTACCTTTCTTCCACTCTGTTTGTAAGATCATGAATCAGGGTTGCAAGGTTTCATCAACCCAACTACACCCCAAAAACCACACAAAAGACCTGAAACTAGGGGAAAAGTGAAAAAGAAAAAGATTTTTCTTCATTTTTTACATGGACAAACAAGCATTTCACACATATTTCTGAAGGATGGACGCTATCCATGTCATATTTCTGCTTCCTCTTTCCTGAGCTTTGCAATACAGTATCTTATAATAGAAATGGAATAGAAATTCTGTACATCACAGACACACTGACTGTACTTACACTTTGCCTTTTTGTGGAAATTTTTTAGATTTAATTCAGATTATTTGGTATAAAGCAAGATCTTGGTAGCTGTGGGATGTTTTTTAAATTAGCCCAATCTGGCAACTTTCCTGTCCACTGCTCTTCTCCCAAGTATGGGACAGCGTGATTCCTGCCCCAACAGGCCGCTATAAGCACTTGTTGTAGTTCCCATTTGTGACCACTAGGTGCAATAATAACTCTATAGAGCTAAATGGGGCAGTGAGCATGCTGCCCCATGATTGCAAAAATATAGAAATGCTGCGAAAACAACTTTAAAAAAAGTTATTGGTCACTTAAAAGAGCTAATTAGTATTTCAATTCATTACATGTGAATGAGGACTTTATAAAGATTAACATTTGTTGAATGGCTGCTATAAACGATAATCTCTGCTCCACCAGCCCCTATGGATGAGGAGACCTGTCTAAGTGACCACATTCTCTGAATGTTTAGCTTGATGAAGTGCAGGGGAGAAGCCTTTATTTAAAATGCAGCTTGGAGTAATAGCATTCAGGATAGGTTCAAAGTCTTCAAGTGCCTTTTCTTTTTAATTTAGTTATTATATTTGGCTAATTATTTGTAATTTTTAAACACTGATGGTGTAAATGTATAACAAACTAGCTTGTGTCAAATCGTGCAGAAGAAGAGTAAATAATAGCATTGTCTGCATACTTAATTGTCATAATCTCCTTTTTCATGTTGCTATGCAACAATCAACATATTATGACTATTACTGATGTTCAGTCTTGTGATTTATACATGTTGCCATCCATGAAGTTGGATTTCTTCATGAAACACCAATCAAGAATGTTCGCCTATAGAGGAGGTGGTTATATTCTCTAAATCAGAGTTGCCAGGTTGGACTGTTTCCAATCCAGTCATGATTTAAAAGCTTCTGAAACACCTACAAACCATGCATCTCAAACTGAAATTACATATAATTTTAAATACAGGCTTAGTATATATCATTCCAAGAGTATCTGCGTCCAGATCATTGGTTTAAAGAAGACAAGATCTGGCAACCCTTGTAAAAATGAATGCTTTTAATTTGTAAGTGACTCAACCTTCATAAAAGACAGCGCAAACACCATGTAGCTGCAAAAGATACAGTATATGGACTTTGTGTAAGAAGAAAAAGTATGATAACCAGCATTAAACAGTGAATATGCCAGGAATAAATTAAAACATTGAATTCTGCATTAAATAAAAATACCCATGACATTAGTGGTTCACATAGGTTTTTTCCATGTGCAGCCTTACGGTTAAGAGGACTATGAAAGGTATTTGGTATTTTTTTTCCCTGATGTCCTTTGACACGTTTTCCTAAAAATAATGATAGGCCTGTGTTCAATTTAGAAATGTTTTGCAAATTAAATTAACAGGACATTCTTACAGTAAGATTACAGTTTTAATAGTAAAAATGTAATATTCATAAAAAATAATGTGTAAAACCTACATCATGTGCACTTGTGTTTTGGAGTTTTCAAAGACTTCTGAACTTACAAGGCTGTTGTTTAACTTTGTTGGCCCTTTGCTGGAAAGCGACCTTAAGATTGGAGGACAGAGTATAAAACTTTTGATTAGCATTATAGTGTGTTCAGTCAAGCGCTCTGAAAGCAGACTATTATTTACTGCACAAAAGTCCCAGGGTCTCCTTGAGGATAATAACAATGCACTCTCAAAATAATAACTCAAACATGGACAAACACATAGTCACTATATATCCACATGCTTTCTTTTGTGTATTAAATATATGAGAATTACTGCCTGGTGGAATTAAAACAAAGAGCCCTCTTTCCAACACTCTCAGAAATAAAAGTAGCAGAGTGTACTTTTCCTTGTCCTTGCAGTCCACTTTTTTCACAAAACATGCCAAAAAGTTTAAAAGTTTCATCTGACCACAACTCACAATTTTAACTGCAATTTGAATGACGTTTGGTGAAACTCAGGCACTGCATTTTATTGGATGCTCTCAGGAAGTGATGTGGAAGTGGCGTTTCACAGTTGATTTTTAAAAAACTTTTTTATTTTGCAACCACAAGAATCAACTAAACTGTGATATTTTGGGTTCCCTCCTTCACCATTCAACTCAATGTGTAGGGAAACAGCATGCTCATGAGTCCAATTCCTGGCAAATTTCCAACTGTTTCAGTCATGTGAAACTTATTGTTATGGAGGAAACTGTATATTATATCAGTGGACAAAAAGAAAAATGACGCATAACAGGTTGCCATGGCACCACCAGATGAATAAAAGCATAGAAAAGCAGAGAAGAGTGGAGGGTACTAGCACTGGTAGAGAGTAATGCAGGACCGAGGCAGCAGAGTTGAGTTCAAATAGAATTGTGGTGATTTAATGGATAAATAACCATGTGTGGCATTTACTGTACATAGGCAAATACATATTTTCATTCTAAAAAAAACCCAAAAAAAACAAAAACAATTGGTAAAACTGAATTGTTGGGGTTAAGAGCTCATTTAAGATCATTAAAAAAAATCTGATGGAAACAACAGCCTTCTCTGACAAAGAAACTGGTTTTACTCCACCAATCAAATGTTCCCTCAAATGTTCTTAAATATCTCAAAGGCATCCATTACTTTAAAACAAATTTGAGCAGTAAAAATAGGGCATGTTGAAACTTTATATGATGTTCATTAGCATAAAACCTAAACTTTGGTTTGGTGGTTGATGACATGTACTTAATCTGAAACTTTAACTTCTTCTCTAGACAAATCATTTGAAAACTTTTGTGCATGAAATAAAAATACTGAAAATGAAAATGATTACAAAAAACAAGCCTTGTTTTGTTTTTTGGTGCAAATCATGTAATATCTACTGTACATTTATAGATCATTTTATAAAATAATGTAATAACATACCACACAACCATAAACAACAGAAACAGTGAAAAGAGTGGAATCGGAATCCAGTAAAAAGTTTGAATGCCTAGTTGTGGCTATTGTAAACACCAGCTGAAAAAAGGCCCTTTCTACTCTCATGATTCTCTTTAAGTTGAAATATTAACTCCAAAGAATGAAATACAAGATTATCATGTTTTGTATATTTGTAACATTTAAAAATAGCTATAAAAGAATGTACGTATCTCTGCCTTAGACCACTTCTCAAGACTCAATCACGAAGCGCCCATATTACAAAAACATTCCACTTGAATATGTATAACAAGAATACTCATATCAATAATAAGAGATGTGTGTAGGATGTATATTAATAAAAGCTCCAGGATCTTAGGTTGTCGATCCAATGGAACCGGAGTGAAATGCAGTATATCTTGACGATGGTGATTGTGAGTTTCTAAAACTGTTCATGCTCCCTTGGATTTCGCTCTTAGTCACATGCGCTTCCCCTTGTCCTGATTTTCCCCTGAGTGACGAGTGTGCTGCTGTCCAAACGCTCTGGCCTGTTAATATCAGTTCAGACGCACGTTTTCCATCCCCCCGCTGCTCACGACACCCTTTATCAGATCCACATTCGCTCAAACCCACTTCTTCTGCTCTCCCCCTGCTGTTACTGTCCCTTCTGGGTGAGCCCTGATGCAGTTCAGTGCGTGAACCCTTGTGTTCAGAGGCGCGTCGCAAGGCCTGAGGCTCCCGCTCGAAATGTGTGAGCGGGAAATGTGGTAGCAGGATAATCTGGCGCTCTTGAGCGCTGGCCACTAATGAGAGCGCCGATGCACGGCGGGGGCTCCTGATTGGGCTGGCCAGAGGTGTTTCGTCTATGAAGTTGATCACCTCGTCACGGCTGAAGCACCCCAAATCGTCCTCAGAGCGCTGGGGTCGCGGGAGAGAGCGTGTCCCATCGGAGCTCCTACGTGCGCGTTGATGGCGGCTGCTCTCCTCGTGGCACGATGCCAGGCTGCTGCGCCGCCTCTCGTGGCGGTTCGAGGTGTAACGCGGCACACCCATCATGTCCTCCGTGGAGCCCCAGCGGTGCAGGTAGGAAGGAATCGGCCCTGTGGTCCACATGTCGGTTTCGTCGTGGGAGTATCTTCTTGTAGGGGGCACCTGATGTAGACACAGAAACAGACCACGTAGCTCGTTTATTACGCAGAATTAACGTTCAGTGTTGTACCATTCTGCAATGCATTAGACATCAGGCTACTAACAACTGGGGCATGCTCTCAAATCCGTTATCCATTAATCTATTTCATTATAAAAAGTCTGGCATTATGAATTAACATGGCATGATAATAATATGGCAAGGTAGCCACAGGAGCTACACTCAGTGGCCACTTTACTTAGCTACACTCATTCACCTTTGATGAGGCACACCCACCACAGGGGTCCACTTTACTGACTGTATCCCATCTCTTGCTATGCACAATATGTCAGCCCTATTAATGAAAATTTGTGGTGGTACAAGTGTATCAGGTGGAGCAGTTTGGGGATTTTCAAACACTTGAAGCTCACATATTGTGGCTCAGGGGATAAGGCTTAAAGCTGCTGGTGAGAGGGTTTTAAGTTCAAATCCCAGCACCACCAAGCTGACACTGTTGTGTCCCTGAGCAAGCCCTTTAACCCTAAGGTTGTATCCTGTCTCATTTGTAAGTTGGTCTAAAGCATCAGCTAAATGAGTTTGGACATGTCTTGGATAGCTGAAGTGAGGGTCTAGCAACCGGAAATATCCAGC